AATTTTCATAAGATACTAATAAATCAATTATGTGAGTAAAAATTTATAACTTATAAAAATTAATTATTACGAAATAAAATAAATATACTATTTTTGGATTTGGAATTTTATATTTAGAGGACCTCATGTGTTGTTTTCGTCTTATAAATGTTTAACATGTCAAATTTTCATCCTGTAGAAACATTTTTGTGATTAGCTTACATATTGTAGTGAAATAATATTATTATCAAACTTATAGGTCAGAATATTATCCATTTCTCTTTTCAGTTTTAAAAAATACTTAAATTTTATTTTTAAGCAAATTATGAACATTTTTAGACATTAATACTTTACATACCTACTCATAACTTGCTTAGAATTTAAAATACCGTAAAAATCGACAAAAGAACACGATAATGTTTTTTTCTTTAAGTTTGAATAATAAACTTCTACTAAACGAAAATTTGCCATTCTATAGGTTTGTAAGACGGATACAGTACATGTGGGTGTAGCGTCCTCTTAACACATAATTTTATAAGCGTTTATATATTAGGTGTACATAGACAAATTATGTATGGTCTACGAGTGATGATGTGATGAAAGTATAACCGATAATAATTTACGATAACTACCAATTAGTACCTATATATTTTATTAATACGATATTCATTGAGAATCCTAAGAATAGTGGTTTTATTATAAAATACATTATTATGATAAATATTTGGTTAACCATCTAAAGATGAATACTCGTCTTAATTATGCTAATGGTAGCGTTAAGAATTAATTTCAATTTTATTTTAAATGTATCATATATTTATTTTTAAATGTATTATTACATTTTTAAGCTTTGATATAGTTAATAAAATTATTTTACAATACATTAAATACCTTTATATTTTTAAGTTAATATCACACAACCATATAATTACAGTAAAATTACTATTTACTATTAATTTTTTTGTTCAACTAAATTATCATCTAAATTGTATATACATAATGTAGGCCTGAAAATGATGAATACGATGTAAGACGAAAATCACTCAAGTATATTCTACAAATATTAATCGTAACAATAATGATCACAGTGACCGTAACGATAATGTCGTTTTTGTACATTCAATCTAGTAATAGCAAAATTTCGGTAACCGTTGTTCCCGAAAATCGTATAGAATGTGTTGATGGTCAGACGGAACGCTACAGCGGTGAGGTTCTAGTAACGACTACAGCTCGAATAACCGAGATAAACGTTACAGATCACCCTGCTGAAAAAACTCAAGAAGCGCTGTTTACAAATTTCCAGAGCTTGCAGATACCAGATGTGACCAGAAAAACTGAACTGAAGGACGAATCGATTAAAGAACTTCTGCAGGTGAGTTACAAAAAGTTTTTAAACAACGGTATTATCTAGAATAACGGTTTTGAAGTCATTCCGTTGATGTCTAATATAAGCACTATTACTGTACAGCCATTTTTTATCGCCAAAGTAAATTCAACGGTCAATAATCACGATTGGTATCCGAACACTAAACATATTTTTAGTAACAATTCGACCATTGGTGATGACGACGAAAAATACAAATTAAAGGAAATCGCACACACGCAAATACATTCATCAAAATACAGGTAAAGCCAACTCAAAGTTGATCGTATAACTTTTTTTATACCAGCTCAAATCATTTATGAAAATATATAGTAATTACATTAATATATTATATACAATTTGAAAATTAATAGACTACAATTTTCATAACGTTTAGGAACTTTCAGACAGTATTTTTTATACTACCTAGTAACTACTACATATATATCGTGTGAAAAGTATCATTCAAACTTTTAGTAGTACACTCTATTCATTGCTTAAGTAAACATATTATTATTATAATATGTTGTTCTAATAATTTAACTAAATTCATAATTACATTAGTTTTGTACATATTAAACCTTTTGGGAATAGTCAGAGTCATATAAGATGTACTGACAACATTTTTTGTAAAAAATAAAATTACAAAAACTACACATGATAAAAAGTTGATTTTTTTTTTGATAGTAAGTTAATAAAATTACTACATACAAATCCATTACATTATAATTAGTAATGAATATCGACAAATCATGTATATATGTAGGCAATTTAAATATAAATGTGTGAATAGGTATCTTATTAATTACCACATTTTTCAAATAAATAAATTACACAAAACACTATTTTTTTATTCTATTTAATTTGTCTAAGTTTTGAGTTGTTATAAAAGATTATACAAAATTCCTAAATCTTGTAAATATTAAAGACTATACAATAAAACGAATGTATACTTACGTTTTACATATTACATATGCAATGAGATTTGTAAATAATTAATTTCATTCCTCAAATGGAAAACTGTTGAAGTAATTGTTTATTTTTATTTTTATTTTAACAGAGAAGAAAAACATGATAAAATGATTAATAACAAAAAATCGATGATAATGACAAATAATATAGAAGCGGTCAAAAATAGAGCCTCAACCGATCAACTTAAGTTATATGATTTACCGTACAAAATTCATGATTATGGCTATACAGAAGATCATATTTCTGCTGATGAAATTGGATGGAAAACTATAGGCCGACCTGAAAATACACAACCAGCAGCGTCATGGGTAGAAGGTATTTTAGATCACCCATCTTATGGTACTCGAAACCACGATGAACTTAGCCTACCGAATAGAGTAATTAAAGGTCATTATAGGCCCATGCAACTGAAAGAAAATAAAATCAATTGGCATACAATCAGTATAATTGCGTTAATTAAATTAGGTTTGATCAAATTAAAGACAATCGGTTTTGTAAAAATTTTATTCCTTATTTTGTTTAAGCTCAAATTGTATATGGCTGCTGTATTCGTTAAATTTTTATTAATAGTGAAACTAATGAAATTTTCCAAATCTCTTATATTACCGTTATTAATTCTAAAATTATTACCAATATTAATGAAATTATTTTCAATGAAATCATCTAATAACATGATAAATTCACCTGGAAACACTTTACCAAATCAATCTAATGGGTTAACTTCAAGTCAATTCGGCAATTTACTACCTAGTGTTACACGGCCAGTTACATTCTTTTCTGATGGAACCACTGGATCAGGCATGACAGATGGAACAACTGGAACAGGTCTGTCAGGTGAAACAACTGGAACAGGCCTACCGAGTGGAATAACTGAAACAGGCTTGCCAAGTATAACAACTGGAACAGGTCGTCCAGGAATAACAATTAGAACGGTTCAAGAGGAGGAAAATAAAATATCATCCTTTAAGACTGATGATTTAAATTTAGTTAGTAAAAAACAAAACAAATCTTCGATTATGTTTGATCCTACCTGGGAAATCATCCAAAATGTGTTGAATTCGGAAAAATGTATAGAAAGAACGGCTTGCCAAATTTCTGTTGCAGAAAAGGCTGGTCTCATGCCCATCTGGATTAACTGGTGAATATTATTTAATATTTTAAAACTAACTTCTGCTTATCTTGTAAATTCATAATTATGAGGACATCAGAACCACATATCTTATTTAGGTCCAAATTTACAATAGACAAATTTGCATTCAGCAAAATCAAATTTAGTATTATTAGCTTTAATATTAGAACTAATTGATCTATAACACAGATTAAAAACAAGAAAATTGTTTTTATATTTCGCATAGATTTTTACTATTGTTTAATTTTTAGGTATATTATGAACATTTTTAAATTTCAGTATTTAGTATAAACTATAAAAATAACTTACTTAAAAATTAAAATGTAATTTAAAAAAAAAAAAAAATTACATGTACAAGCAATGTTATTTAGTCAATCAACCTTTAATTTTAATTATAGGTTAATTCAATTACATATTAAATATATCGTCAAAATATTATATCTGCTGAAATTCAACAGCTGAATGAAAATTTAATATATTGTATGTTTAAGACGAATATAAAACGTAATATTAAAGAATTCTCTTTTTGTTTTTACTGCCCACATAATTACACTATTTTTAGAATGAAATATAAAATATAAAATTAATTAAATATTTTAATTACATTTAATACATTAAGTACCTTAATGTGGTTTTATAAACTTAAAAAATATATTATTTTATTATTATATGAAGTAAATATTTTATTTGACAAATTATTTATATTTTTAGGATTATATACTACGTATCAACATTTATATTTTATTCCTAGTGATAAGCTCGAAATTTATCTCAAAACTTATGAAAATGTAAATAATGACATTTTTAATAAGTCAATAGCTGCAGAAAATTGGATAACGTGGTGTTTAGATCGATATAAATGCCAATAACGTATCAAATGTAATGAAAACAAATAATAGTAACATTTTTGTATTTATTTATTTAATACTTTATATTAAGCATACGTTATTAAGAATATTTTTGTATCAAATGAATGATAATGAATAATGATGTATGTAAACTTATTAATAGGTCACTTAGTAGTGACGTATTTAAGACTTATAATTCAATAGACACTAAATAATATGTAAGGTCTAAAATTCTAAAAATTTTAATTTAAATAACTTTACAACATACAGTAAAAAAATTGATTTTTGATTTTTCTTTGCAGTTCGTTAATATTAAATAAATTGTTAACCATAAATTTCCAATATTCTATACATGTTGAGTAGAGAACATTAAATATGTCCTAAAATCAAATTAAACTAACATAACTACTAGTAAATAGTAATTATTTGTTTATTTAAGATGATAATAATCTATCTTTTTTCATAAATTTTCTGAAGTAACTCTATTTTTAAGTTTAACTCGTCCCCCCCCCCCCCCAAAAAAAAAAAAAAATAATTATTTGAATATTTATAACTAAATAATTCACACATTTTTTTAACAACACGATTTTTTTTTTTTTTTTAATTAATTTAAGACTTTATGAGTATAAGTATAATGATTAAATAAATAAGACTAACACAAATTTTATTATAATCTTAATCATTAAATTATTGATACCAAATAACTAATAATAATAATATAACGTACCTACACAGTATATACTCATATTAGAATATTCTTATAAAATGCCTAAATACATTAAATTACATTTTCATAAATATATTAGAGAGATCTGTCCTTTGCTCGCCTTGCTCCCATCGGTTTTCCTAAATTCACCTAGGAATTTTACTCACATGACCCAAGGATAATCTCCTTTTCCGTCGTGAAATTTAATATCTGTAATTTAAAAATTTTAATTTAAAAATCGTGAAAGATAAAATATAGGTATAGATAATTTATACAATATATTTTTATGTAATTGAGAAATAATATATAAGTGAATTGATTAATTTTAATTATTCAAATTGAATTTATCCACTACGATATCTTTAAGCGAGGAATGAAACATATCAAGATATCTTTAAAACTTAAGTTTTGCTTTTTTGTACAATAGATAGTATATGAATATGTGTTTAAATGTAACTGAAGTGCATGTTGTATATGCTTTTTGTATCCTATTAGATAACCGTAGAACAGGGATAGGCTATTCATTGCTCTACATGAGGGCCAATTTTTTAAAAGTGAAAATCTAGTGAGCCAATTTTACGCTTTTTAGTGGACATTTTAAAAACACTATACTAAACGCTAAAACAATAAAACCAAAGCAATCAACCAGCATGATATGACAGATGCGACTAAACTAATAAATAATAATCTATTAGCTACCTAGTTAACTATGTCCTCATAAATAATATTAGATAAGAATTCATATCTACATTTTAAGGTAAACATTAAATACATTTTATAAATATTATAAAATAAAATACAGAAAAATCCTAACATTTAATGTTTTTATAAAAATAATTTGAAATATAGCACGGCCCGGTTAAAAATAGTATGCGGGCCGCCAGTTGCCCATCCCTGCCGACGAGTACCAAATGATTCTATATCTATATATAATATATGATTATACCTATTAATTATTATTTGTAGTTTGTACACATTATTATAACAATTAATAATTTCTTGATGAGTTATTTTTAATTACGATTATGAAAATGTATATTTTATAATTATAATTTATAATAATAATATAACATTAAATAAAAATTTCAAAAAAAAAAAAACGATTTCTTCAATATTCTTTAGTCTATTGATATTTTAACACCACTTTCCTGTAAAAAATATATTCAAATATTTTTAAATAATATTTTTATTCAATTTGTGTATGTAGGCATATAAGTGTGTATCATATTATTTCTTATATACATACACATCTTTATTATGTGCACCATAAATGCTTAAGTGTACATTTGGAAGTTTTTCTAGTGATTCATTTTCAGCATATTTTTCTGAATTTCCATGCAAAGTAACTATGGTAAGCTGGTCCGATTTTCTTTGACACTCCAGTTGTGCTTTATTTGTTTTTTTGGACTCTACATATTTTTTATCTTTTTCTCTGAAAAATAATGCTACCGTTAAACGTGGTTATTTTTTATATTTAGCTTTTATAATTTAATAGTTATATCCTTTACTGTTACCTAAAACGTTTAAGCAACGTTTTTCCACAGTTATCAAGTATTTTCGATTCAATTACTTCAATTTGAGATTTATTAACATTGTGATTTATATTTTTTTGGTTTGCTAAATTGTCATTTGAAAACTAAAATGTAAGAAAAAGAATAATTATGGCATTATATATTTATTTATAAACCTAGTGAAAAAAATATGTTATTAATTTGCGTTTCTGTAATAGCTTACGTTATACATTACTTATTAGTTAAAAATTCATCCAAAATATATCATTAATTTTAAATAAAAGAACTAATTTTAATATTTTCAAGATATTTATGATTAATTTGTATTCATGAATAGTAGATACTCACTTAACCACATTATTTATAAAATTGTAACATAATATGTTTACAAAAATTCCCGATTTTAGCTATTAATACTATATATTGTTGTTTATATTTACTATATAATATTATATTAAGTAAATAGTACATATTTAATTTATTAAGTTATATTATTTATTAAAAATATATAATAGTATGCAGTTTTATTCATATCTAAATTAGTATTTTATCAAGTTTAAAATATATTTATAAAATAATGAATTGAAGGAAAGATATATAAGTATTTAACTCGTTTTCTTGTGAAATTATATTAGGCATATATGTATACAATCAACTTTTTTTAAATGGTAATTAGTATTAAAAACATATGAGTAACAATCACCAAACTAGAAAAAAATGTGTAAAAATTAAATTTAGTATATTCAGCTAAGCCATTTTTTGAATTACTATTTTTAAAATGTGCTCAACGCAATAACAATGTACCTCTATTGCCTACACGATAAAGTATTCAACATTCAACTAAACAATGAAAAGGATGAAAAAAATGTGAAATGATGACATTTGAAAACTTGTCTTTGTATGTTTATCTTAGTACACATCAGTAGTGAATAATTATTGTAATTAATTTTAAGCCAATGAAAAATTCAATAATTATCTTGTGAGAGTGTTGGTAAAACATATTACATAATTAAAGTCACTCAACCTAATAACTACTGTTATAGTAATATGAACATTTTCAAGTTACTTCAAAACGAATTTACAATTATATTTTGAATTTATATATACGTAAATCTGCTGTAAACAAAATATATTAAATATTTAGTTTCTTGTAAATATAATATACTTGTATATTGATAATAAATAATAATTATAAAAAAACGATTCTGAAAAAATAATCACGAATAGGAAAATGTATAATGATTTATGGTTTTTATTTCATATTAATATAATATAATTGATACTTCATTTTAAAGTTTAATAAAACAAATAATAGTCGTATGTTGTATGCATGTATATAACTTTTAAAATTAATGTTAATTTAAAACTGATCTTACGTTCTGCGTGATTTCTGGATCATTATCTGTACATTTTCTTAATATGTCACAAGTTTTTGTATTGCAGTCAGGCATAACAACATTTTTCTTTTCCTTTTTCCACTTCGTTATTGCTTCTTTTTGTTTAGTTTTAAGTTCTTCAAATTTTAAGAACCAATTTTCATGTTCACGTGCAGCATTTTCGGTTATATCTATAAGTTTTTTTTTTTAATCAAGAATATGTAATAGAAGAACAATAATCATAAAATAATATTAAAAATTAAAATATTTTAAACTATTACTAAATTCAATAAAAATTGATTATGTTTATACATATAATAAAATATTAACATAATATTATTATCTCGATATTTATAAATTCAATTAATAAGCTAGTATGTTTAAATCGCATTACAAATTAATACTATTGTATTTATTTAAAAATAATAAATAATTAAACCATTGTATCTATTCGTATTATCTTAACATCTACAAACGCATTATACAACATCGTTTTAATAATAGAAATGGTGATTTTATTGAATATAGTAAAGTTATATGTACTTATAGTTGTTATCTCAATGTATAATACCTACTAATTTGAATTGTGATACATAATTAATTTATTTCAGTTATTCTATTTAATATTATAAAATTTGCAATAATACATTTTAACAAGTATCTTTAGCTTAATTGTTGGGCATGCCTCATAAATCGGTGAGTAGTTGCAACTTACAAGAATTAGTGCGTTGAAGCAACTATGATATAATATGTATAATTACCTACATATAAAATTATATGTATGCAAATAATAAAACATTGCTCAAGCAAAACCATTCGAAATACAATTCTTTTAGAATTATACAATTATATTCTTGTTTTGAATTTTATTTAAAACATTTGTTCTTAAACATGCTGTTTGTATAGGGAGCAAAATTATTTGAAATTTTAATATACCTTTTAAATTTTATTTTGTAAAATTGTAAATTATATTTTATGATTTGTAATAAATATTTTACATATTTATTTTGATGTAAAACGCCACAAAACTCTTAAAAAAAAAATAATATAGCTTATAGCTGTAAGTAAAATCTTGCATTATGTATATGCTAATAAGCTTTTCAGTAAATAATCTTTTAAAAAGAGCATAAAACATCTTTTTATTAAATTATATGTTCAAATATTACACTTAATAAGTCCCGTATTGAGTTCATAAGAATGTTGGCATTTGATTTTTCAGATGTATGATAATTATATATTTCTTTCTACATTATAATACATTATGTTAAACAATATTTAAATATATTCATAAATTATTACGTGGCATTGCTTGTACAACATGATCTATGAAATCTACAGCATCGGCGTGCTTGGAACGAATCTTTAAAAATGTTTCGTGATCCTTACTAGACCAGCCTCCCGTAAGACCGTAATTACGTTCACAGAAATCATAGAAATCCGCTATTTCCTAAACGAAATTAAATTTTATAAGCTTATAATATTTTATTATCATAATAATTCATAGATAATATACGTGTACACGTATTTAAAATAATATATGTGTACTTTTGAAGAGTATGTATTTTTTGAAATCGGAACTCTTTTGATGGTTTTTGTTTGTTTCTTTTTTTTACTAATAGTATCGACGTTTGGCTTTGAAACTACATCATGCAGTGCTAGTTGCTTCACCCGTTCAATTTCTTCAAACAGCGCCAATTGCTTAAGGTTCTCCTCTCGTAATCTTAAAAATATTATTTTCCTTGATACTTTGGAATATGCTTATTATGCGTACACATTTCAGTTGACTTACACTCACTTTTTTGAGCATCCTTCTTTTAATTTTGACAGCTTCGACTCAAATGTCTTAATATCATTTCGAAATTGTTCAAATCCTAAAATAAATCACATTTATTTTTTATTAGCATCAAGTTGTAATTAACAAAAGTTTATTTTACTAAACATGCGTTTGTTGAATTACCAAAAAATTATTATTCATACTTTATTTTATGTGAATAATTTTGAATGTTTGATTATGCAAATCTAAGATATTAATTATTAACGAATGGATGGATAATTTTTATGAATTTTATCTTTTAAGTACAAAATATACTAATTTAATAAATTTAAATTAAAACCGTGTGATGTATTAAAATGTAAGTGAAATTCAGCTTTATTTTATCATATGATAAAAAATTATTTACTATTAACAAAAACAAGGAATTTTCAACTAGTTAAGGTAGCACTTTTATTTTATCTTGAGAAAATTGTAGTCATTTTTTACAATGAACTGTGAAGATACACTTCTATATTTTGTTAATTCTTACCACAATTATTAACGTAAATTGTTACATACGATAATTTGTTATATATATTTTTTTTTTTGTTTTAACAAAATAAGAACTCTTAAAAACTTTTTAAAAAACGTTAAAAATATATATACTTAAGTATAATATGGCTTATAATCCAAAAAAATAATAATCTTAATGATCACTTTTTATGGTAAGCATTTGCAAAATATAACAGAACTATATTAAGTACAACGATTTTCATATACCTATTATTTTGATTTTATTTACGTCTAACGCAGTCTTTTTCAAATAGGAGAGTTTTTTTTTCATTTCTTGTATCGAACTGGCAAATTGATTTAGATCAGCGTGTCTGAAACACGATAACGTAGGTACACATATTATTGAACACTGGTGTACCTGATATAAAAAAAATAGTACTAAATTTGACTAAGTATTCGTACGACACATGGCATTCGTTTCTGTTATCGAAACAAGTAGATGGATATGTTTACTACTCACCTAGAAGTGTCGAGTTCTTGCTTGTATTTTAACAACTCCCGAGATGTAGGCCATACATTAGGTTTCAAATGGTTTTTAAGGATTTGCCAATGGGCTGTATCCACGGCACGGTCGTCCGACCAAGACATTCTCAGTATTCACTCCACTTGAACCGCGTTTAACGTATTTATTATTATTATTATTATTATTTAAATATAAAATATAAATAAGTCATAATTAGAGGAAAAAAATATCTTATAGTGTATTATGTTATTTTCATATTTTATCGTTTGACAGACCGTCAGCCGGTAGATGATTTGACGTTTCAACAGACCTAACTGTGCGCGTTCAAACACAAATATGCATACTTCCCACCTGCCGGTGTTGGTTGCCGGGTAACATCCAAGGTCCTCAAAAACAATACACATATGCTTACAGACCGAATCTATATCGAATACATAACGTGAACCACTTTATTCATAACTATTATTGCCCGTGTATAATAATACAACATAATATCTATTACATTATTTTATTATACATAAGTAAATATCTACCTACGTACAATTGTACCACAGACATACACACACATATTATATTCATGTTATACTATAACTACCAGATGGTTTTTTTTTATTGACATGGTATCGTAAGTAGGTAAAATGAGAATAATATAAAGTCTATGTACCGGTTTGTGCCATGTTTCCATGGTGAAAATATGATAAAACTGTTGAGGGGTGATTCATTGCATTTTTTTAATGCTATCTCCAACGCTCGATAAATTATACGTATAATAATAATATGCACGCGATATTTATTTATTTTTATTTTAAGCACATTATTTAAAATATTTATGACCATATCTTAGTTAATTAATTTAAAAAAATATAGTTCTAGAATCAAATACAAAAATATATTTTTATTGACGTCTTTTTAAGCATTTATTAATAAAAAAATAAAAAATAATGTTTTATGATTTAAATAGAAAAAATTATAATGTTATTTTATTATTAAAATTACAGATGCTAAATATAAACTATCTACTATTAATTTTAGAGTTTGTACTACTTTTCTGAGAATATTCACTTTAAATATAGGTATAGTTAACGAAAAATCGAATATCAATCTTAAAAATGTATTTATTTAATACTAAACATTGTTAATTTTTTGGGGGGTTTTACGGCATCTAAATTTGAGTAAAAATCAAACTATTAAACATTAAACTTAAAAAAAATTTAAGCATTTCATTATCCTTACCTGATAATGGATGAACCTTTCTTTTATATCTTTAATTAAACCTTATACTGCTCCTATCTAAACATATCCAAAAATCATTTACCTTCTATAAATATTTCCTATCCCACTTAGCCATCCAATTAAACCTTTTCATTAAAAATATCAACTCAAAAAGTAATGTCATGAACATTTTTCCTACATGATTAGCTCACCAATGGTACCGAGAACTCATAAAATCAAATTAATTTTTAACTATTTTAACGAAAAAATTATCATCCAGTAAACTCACTTGTATCATTCAATTATATTATGCTAAACAGTAAACACAAACTATCCGTCAACGAAGTTATTGTAAAAAAAATAAATACATGTAAAGATTGAGTATTTTTATCGAAAAAAAATAAAAATTATATATGTCTTTATAATATTTTATTCAGTAAAAAAAAAACTGCATGATATACAATACTATGAATAATGGGTAGGTATCAATGACGGTGTGATAAAAATATGTATGTAGGTAATATTAATAATATTGAATTCAGTAGAATTTGTAATAAGATGATGATTTGTACGGATGAACTGATTCGTGATGATGGTAATCAATGTCAGAGTGTTCATTATAGTGGTGGGGTGCGTCGATTTTCTTGACTACAGCGTTGAAACCGTGTTCGTGATCGGCTGTGTATTCAACAACACGTGTAGAACCATCAGGTTCTACTAAACTGTATGATCCTTTGACATTACCATGACCGTCACTCACTTCACTTTGGCTTTTGATGTCGTGTGTATGAAGGTCTTTTACACCGTACTTGAAATGATAAGGTGTAGGCGCGTGGGCATAGTGGTCGTGATAATCATTTTCATAACTTTTGTACTCGGGCGGAAAAGCAAAGACCATTTGTCCAATCAAAGCAGCTAACACGACGAACTGAAATTTTAATAATATTTTTATAATATAATCCGATATGTTGAATAAAATACACATATACCTATATCTGATATAATATGGTTGATTGAAACACAATACCTATATTACAGTAGCTATTTGTAAAATATTCAATTGAAAATAAATATTGTCATAATAATTAGTACAATATTTAAGAATATTAAAGGTAATTGATTTAGGATTATACTATTATAATGATTAATATTATTGCACACATTTATTTAAATAAAAATAAAAGAAATATTTGGTTTAATGATTTTTAATAAACATAAATAAATGTAAATAATAATTCCTATCTGTGTAAAGGTAGTAAAAATTCAAATTCTTATGTTATTTATCTATGTTTCTAATGCAGTAATAAAAAATAAATATAAATATCTTACCTTTGTAGTCATTTTGAATGTGTTTTAGATGCGTATACACTTAACAAAATGAGATTTTTAAAATTAATGTATTTTCCCAAAGAACTAACAAATGATTAATATTGAAACTTATTTTTTACAGTAGGTATATATAGTACATAGATCCCCTCTATTATATCCTCAGTGTTCACTCAGATATTTTATAGTTTAGATAGTGAAATTATTGAATAAGAAATGGATACAACATTACATCAACTCATTAAAAAAACACATGAAATATACGTCTTCCTAATTATTAATACTCTTATTACATATTAATTAATTATACTTTTAATTAACAATATCTTAGCATAATTAAAATAAAAAATAAAATAGCTCATCATGGATTTTAATATCAAATGTTATGGTACCATATAATATATCTATATAATATAATCTTATATCATAATATTTGTAGGTATATTTATTATTGTAACTACGTTGTAGAACAAAAAACGAAATAAAGTAATATTTTTTTGCAATAATCTTGTAATATATTATATTATATTTTAATTTTACAAGCATAATACAATTAATTACCTATATTTTAAATTTAATTTTTATCATGTTTTAATATCTTTTACAATAATAATATTATGTTTCTCCATAAATTAACACCTATATATACCAACGTAAAAATTCCTATAAGCTGTGTAAGTTATAGGGATACGATATGTTATATTTTAAAATACTACTAAATATAAAGCCAATTAAAAAATATAAGGGGCAGCAGCAGTCGTCAGTTTTTTAATTGAAATTGGGCGCTATGTTGCAAGTACTGGATACGATTACAATAATCAAATGAGAAGTAACTGTTTTAGCAATCAGTATATTTAGTGATGAAAGTAAGTAACTAAGTATCTAGTTAATAAATAAGTAGGTAACTATATACGTTTGTTATGCAATTTTTTATAACGTAAATAGTTGCGCAGAATAAAATTATTGTACTATTAATACTATAATATATATTAATTATTTCTAACATTATTTAGATTTAATAATTTTATTTATTTTAATTATTATGCATGTGTTATTTTATACATCATAAATTCATAATAAATTATAGAAAAAATAACTATGATATAAATACAAAATTAAATTAAAAATTTCAAAAAAATACAAGAAAACTCAAATTTCAAAACACTTTTTTAGCTACTATTGATTTAATGTGAGTAAAAAGTTTAAAAATATAATAAAATAAATTTTCAAATATTATTAATTAAAATAAAAAGTTAAAATTAATTTCATAAGTATTTAATAAAAAAGAAATTACATTAAATCTGACAAATTTTGAAAAACAAACATATTAAAGAAAAAAGAAATACTAAAAATAATTACATATTAATAATTTTTATTTTTATGAATTATTTCGACAATATTTATGTAATCATTGCATATTTTAGAAAAGTTTCGCAGAGGCACTCAACAATATTACATTGTTTGTAATAATTACGAGTTATATAGTCATTATACTCATTAGCACTAGTTACTAGTGGTCACAGATATAAACGGGTAGGTACACTGGGCTCAGATAAACACACTAAAAATGTATTAAAGCTCGTATTTTTAATACTCGTTAATTTAATGCTCATTTTAATTGTTAATTTAACATTTAAACATTTGGTACATCTTCTTGCAGAATCAGTTCTTATCTATTTTATCCTTTCAATATTTTCCTTTACATATTTATTTTGATGTGTGGCAACTTTACTAAAATATGGTAGTCTACTAAAATAGACAATAGATAAACTATACCATTCGATTCTCAATTATAATGTGTTTGTCGTTTGTGACATTGACATAAAAAGTTAAGCGGTTAGACACGTGAAGTAGGTATATCAGACATGGTTTGAGGAGGCTGGTAGAGGCCTTCTTCGTTGGCCGTTCGAAATGTGTTTTTAATTTGGTGTACATTAAATTGCAATAGTTTGTGTTAATCTATGTTAATATATTGTTATACTATTATTCAAAGTCACAAATCTTTGTCTTTTATTTTTATAATATAAATTAACAAATTTTTGAAAACGATATTATTATTGTGACGACGGAGCGACGACGATCTTCGACTTCCAGCCGCCGAGCGGCGACTTATAGTGTTTTTTCCTAAAAGGCGAAAAGTATCTACCTACCATAATCACCTGAAATATGTTTATATATATATTAATAATATATTAATATATTTTGACATATTTGCTAGCTGCATAACAGCAAAATTGTTGTGTTGACTCAGTCAATTTGACTGTCAAAAAATATATTTTTGCTATAAACTGTGTTTATAAAACACTGGTACCTGCCCCCGCGTTATTAACAAAGGGGTAATAATAAATTTTAATTATATTAACACAAACAATTTATTGAATTAAAATTAAAATTTAAAATATCTATAATTGCAACTAATTTTTAGTATAGGTCTTATACTACCTAGGTGGTTAGGTATCTACTAAACAACTAAAGCATACTTACCAAGTTTAATTACCAATTACCTGCAAATTCGAATTGAATATGTGTCTAAGGTAGGTACCTATATAGGTAGGTAGGTATATAAAATTATTTTTTCCGTTCATGCGGAAGTGTAAATAATTTAATTATAAACGTAGAATGTACACAAATAATCTACCAAAAATGGATTTATAAATATTAAATATAATATAGGTAAGTAGATACTTCTTATATATTATTAGATAGGTTGGTACATTAATATTTATCAGATCATATAAATTTTCTGACCATCCTTAATCTGATAATCAAAACAAGGAAATAAACAGATAACTAGGTATACTTAATCAATGCGTTTTATATTTTCTAGAAATATCTCTAAATTTTATTCCTTTAAGTTTTATTATGATATTATATTATTAGGTATAGATGGAAACCGCAGACTAAGATACATTTCTTAGTCCGTGTTAGAAACTAATAATAATAAGTAGGTACCTATAATAGGTTGTCTGTAGCAAATCGTACTGTTATAAGAAGAAAAAAATTAACATTTTTGGCAGTGACCTCTAGCGGAGTCAGACACATACTGTCTTTATTTTTTCACGTCCATGACGGGCGCAGGTGGTTTATGAAGCTCTCTGTGACAAGTGTAGTTTCACAACAACAATAATCATAGTGTGGTTAAAATTTCAAACATTATCGTTCTTATCAGTCGTCTGTAACCGTTAAAAATTGTAAATTGGAATATTCTGTGATATTACCGAATAGGATGTTTATATATTCATATTGATATAGCCGGTTATCCGATAGTACTTGCTATGAAGTTACTATTTATTACCTATTTAGTATTCGTTTATTGTACTGAATACTGATGTTAGAATCTGTGTTTTTCCATGTCCGCGTCTTCGTTGTCGCTGTAAATTATTGTTATATCCACCCGTAGATGTCAATTCTACCGAACGTGATCGAATCAATTAAAAGGCACCCTCTTCTGACCAAATTTTGATTACAGATATTGATTGAGTCAACAGCCCCGAACCGGTAAGTTTTTCAGAATTTTTTTTTTTTTGTCCTACTCGTCCGCTAGAAAATGATTATACCCGCATCATTAGTTATCGGTTAGTTTTCCTGTTTAGTCATCCAATAGCTTTTAATTTTTTTTTTTTGGTTTGCATTTTAGGTACACACTATGACTAAAACATTAACGACTGCATCAGATGTGTACAATCGCATGTTAGAGTCTTTGAACAGCCACAACAATGTCAAGTATATGCCATATCGCATTGCTCTGAAATTGACCGTCTTACAAAAATACACTTGCTGTAAGTGTAAATTTCTGTATATGCTTAATTATATGTATATTTTGGTATTAGTGTTGTAATGTATTCACAGACTAACGCCATGTCCAACGTAAATGCATTCTGTTCGAATAAAAACAAAACAGCTTGTATTTGTGACACAACGCATTTATGTTGGACACAACATTAGATATAATATATTGTATATACTTCTAAACTTATGTCCTTGCTTAGATTTTATATAATTTGCAAATTACTGATTTAACAGTGTTATTTCTTAATGATACTGAATACTTGTAAGTTAGTGAGTTTTCAAACAAATTTTTGTCATACATAAATTATTATAAACAAATTGTACATTTTATTAAGTTTTTCAGATGGTTTCAAATTAAAAATACTGTTGAAACTTTAGGTACATAATTCCTTGTTTCTGTATATATATACATTACCAGTAGTATTATTTTAAAATATAATAACTATAATTTGTTGGTATCCATTTATCAAAAATTACCAAACATTTAAACACTACATTTTGTTCATGCATATTCATATTAAATACATTTATATGTATTTAATAAAATGTTCAGAAAGTATTTTACTTGCGATTATAATCAGGATTATAATTTATGCTGGTAATTTGTTTTGAATTTAAAATTACTATTTAGGAATTTTCAAATAGGTAACTAACCTTAAACTAGGCTTTTACCTAATATTTTATTACATTTATTTATATAGGTTAGTAATGCATTTTTTTTGAATGATATTTTATATCTTAAAAATTTTTTAATTATTTTTATAGCCAAAAATACTTCTAAATTTATATCCGATTTAATTTGATTCTTTGATGAAATGACATGTTATTTAAAAAAAATCTAAAGTTTAATATTGTATAGATTACAATTTACTCAGCAAAATATTTAGCTTGGTAAATTAATATGAATTAACTTAACAATTAAATAATACAATGTATGATTAGCTAATAATTGTTATTAATAACATTAAATTGCTATCTGTTGTTTAATATTTGAAGGCATTACTTGGCATATATAATTATAACAGTTATTTTCTAGTATGTATTTATAAAGTAAAATGAGTATAATTCTTACTAAGTATATTATTGTTTTAATTTGGTTAAAAATTGACATTGGTTGTTCAAATAATAAACAGGTAAAAAAAAAATAAAAATAGGTAAGCGCAGATAGAAATTATGAATTAATTAAATATGCACAAGTCGTTCATTTAACAAGTTAATCATAAATCTATTCTTACATTATTTAAATTTAATTTAAAATACTTTAAAATATCTAGTTGAGCATAATTTTTAAACATTTTTATTCATAACAAATTCATATCAAATTACAGTTTAATTACAAGATAAAAATAATAAAATAAGATAGTAGTAGGATGAAGTGTATTATAATGAGCATTTTCCAATATGGGATTAATTGTATAGATGGCACACCATGAAGACACACACGGTTATCTACTGATATTGATAATACTGCTGTTTTCATATCTGGCATTAAATCTTTATTTAAAAACTCAAGTCCCGTAACAAACATAGCATGAGCTTGTTTAACATTATAAATCATTTTTAAGTTACTTGATTCATGTATACTAACACTTCCTGAATACATTGTACCCACAGCAATATATAATCCATCTTTACGCACTGCTAATGCTGAAGTAGGCTCAGAAAACAATAACTCATAAAGTATTGTATTTTTTTCTGACCATCTCTGTAAGTAAGATTTTTGTTTAGGACCATTTGCAATTGTATATATGTTATAAATCGGTTTATTTCCAATTATACCAAATTTACATCTTTTAAAAATTTGTTTATTATTATTTGGATCTGGATGAATAAGAGCAGAATGTACATTTGTAACAGTATTCCAATGATAAGCTTTTCCATCTTTTGCAACACTTACTATAAATTTACCATCGGAACTTATATCTATATCATCAATTTCTTTAGTATGACGTTTGTATACTTTTAATGGTGTAGCATCTCTTGATTTAACTATTGGAAAGTTCCAAAGACGAATGCATCCATCTGTACCCCCAGTTACCATTAAATTTCCATCATTATTAATTTTCACGATCCTCTGTAAGGGTTCATCTTCGCTGAAATCTGTTATTACTGAATCTCCTGTTGTTATTTTAAAATTAATTTCTTTATCTGCTTTACCATTATGAAATGTTGGTTCTATTATAATATTAGCCATATATTGTCGACAACTATCATTCTCATTTGCTGCAATATAAATTGTATTACCATTTATATTTGTACAACAATTCATAATTACATTTGGACCGCTATCATAACGAATTATTTTTGTCATTGATATAGTTTTACCATCTCTATTTAACTTAAATACTTCAAATCCATTAGCTATGCCAGTTTTGCTAGAACCACCACCACCAGCCACCAGTATGTAGTTCTTGAGGAATGTTTGAATTGAATACATTGGAAGATTTGTTGTTGTGACCACTTGGGACATATTTATAAATATATTGTAAATTATTTATTTATTAACTTGAATATAAGAAAAAAAAATTCAAATTTTAATATTTTAACATTAATTACACTTTAGTATTTAGCCACCAAATAGATAAATTTATGTCCAAATGTTATCATTTTTATCATTATATATTGATAAGAAAACCAGTGCTAACATTTTAGAAGTACTTTATGTTTGAATAGTAATTAGTTTGTAAAATATAAATGTCTTGCAAAATATGTAGCTATTGAGAAAAATTTTCAAGAAGAAAATGTTTATAAAATTATACATCTATGTTTTTATAAATATATTTTCTTATTAACTACTACCCAACTACCACACATAATACAATTTTGCAATGATAAACTCAATATTTTTTCTTAAAAATAAATATTATTTATATATAAATTTAATTAAAAAAAAAAAAAAAATCAAAAGTATTAAATATTTTTTCATGAATATAATATAACAGTTAATAATTGTATTGAGCCTTAGACATAATAGAAATATATCTAGTTATAAAAATAAATTTGAATTGCTTATAGAATACGTGATAATGCATGATCATTTTTGGAAATACAATTATTTAATTTTTTAAAGATGATTGAAGATATTTGTAAATTTTTAGTGACTACATTTTTAACATAATAATGAGATAAGTTACTAATTGTTTTCAATTATATTTGCATTGACTTTATACATTAGACATTAATTGTATTGTTAGAACTTATAATAATTTATGATTAAAACTTATGTTTTTTATGAATTTAAATTAACTACATAAATAAAAGAATAATTAAAGTAGAAATAATTTTAAAACATTTTATATAGGAGTATAAAATTATTTGGGTATGCCTTTATAGAATGGCTGAAACAAATTTTCTCTTTCAAAATAAAATACCTTAAACACTTAATTCTTATGTAAATGTAATATTGCTTAAATTGTTATTATATTTTATTTTTTTTATAAATTCAAACATGTTATATAGTTAATAATTAATTTTATTGTATTTTAATATTTTACTATCCTCACATCTATTAAATTTAAAGTCTTAGGTACCTTTACTTTAGGATCTATTGTTTGGTTATAACTTATATTTTAATAATTTTTCTCTGTATTTTAGTGGATAAAGTGTCATTGTATGTAATAAATGGTGTTTATGAGCAACATAAAGGAAAAAATCTGAATCTAATCGATAAGGTTAGGTTAGATGATATTGTATCTGATATCTATTTTGCAGTCCAAAAAGAATACTCAGATTTAACCTTTGACGGAGAAATAGTATCTAACGTTTTAGTTCAGTTATTGGGTCAAATATTTTCAAAGTGAGTTTTAATTCATTTTCATATTTATACATTGTACCAATTCATGATTTAAATAAATTTTATTATTTATTAATTTATTTTTTATGTTTAATTATTATTGTGTTTATTTAACACAAAAATATAAACTAAATATTTTGCTTTGTATAGATATTTAATAGACATTCCTCTTTATTATAATATTCGTGTGTTTGGCTTATATTCTAAAATCTAAATATACTTACTAAAATACATGTATGGCCTTAGTTTTAAGTATAACAGTTAATAATAATGTTGTTTAAAATATTTTTTCAGGTATACAAATAAACAAATCAATTTAAGATCTGCTCTGACTGTCATAGCCTGTTTATCATGTGATAGACTTCGTGTACGATTGGGTTATATGTTCCAGTTAAATTGCCTTAACAATGAACTTGGTTTAACAAAAGAATGTTTTAGAAATTTTTTAAGAGACCTCAGTTTATTACTAAACTTTTTATCAGAAAAAAGTGTATTTGAATCCTCTTCAATCAACAATATAATTGATAATTGCTTCCAAAATGTAAATATGTAGTAATAGAATAAATATGTGTAATATCTAACTGTTTTATTTTTTAGTTAAAAAACCCAAATTATATGACAGAAGCTGAATTTATGCGATGGTTTATGACTGAGCCACCAGTATTAGAATGGTTACAAATATTGTATAGAATAAAAATGGCTGAAAATGGTAAGATTAATTAATGAAATTATGATTGGTAGTGCAATTCCTTTCATATTTTAATAAAAATAAATAAATTTTTAAGTCTATTTTAAGTTACACCTTGATTTATGTATCAGTAATTATATAAATTGATTGGTTTGGATAAAAACAAACAAATTTTAGGCAATTTTGAAAAAAAAATTATAGCAACTTACTGTGATACTAAAAGTAAAATAAATGATTTTAATAGTTATAGTTATCAAAAATACATATAAAATATACTTAATGATATAGGCTGACAGACCATCTCTGCTTAGAATCGTTTTTCGTATACAATTATATATAAATTAATACAAAGTTAACACACCCATCACAGTGGTCCACTCATCACTTAAAAGAATGTCGCACCCGCATGTATTGCCTCCATCTTATACATGTACGACATACTAAATTTTTGTACATCAGTTTTAATAATGTGCTTTTAGTTTTGATATTAAAGTGAATTGACCTATTATCAAAACTTAAAGCACATTATTAAAACTGGTGAACAAAAATTTACTATGTTATACGTTTATAAGACGGAATTAACACATGATGTGACATTATCTTAATGTACAGCAGAGTGCTACCCACTTACCTGCTTTTTTTTTGTGGTAGTATTAATGAGGAATTTTTCAAAAAATTACTCTTAGCCAAGATCTGCAAAATAGTTCTAAACACATGATTGTATTGTAATAATTGACAATTTGGACCTAGGTTATTAAAATACTTATAAGTTATAGATAATAAAATACTATAGATTTAATGATATATGTTTTAATAAACTCGTTATATTTATTGTTAAGTATCTGTATTTGTTGTCTTTGCCTTACAAACATAAAATATACCATATTTGTAATCAGTAGTTAAAGTTTTTTTTGTTTTATAAACTAAAATATTAGAGTAATTTGATTCATTATCTAAAAATATTAATTTATTTTATTATTATTTTTTTTTTTCGATGTTTTAATTTTGAATTTTTGAATTAGTTATGACTTATGAATATGGGAAATATTAATATATAAAAAACCAAAAAATAACTATGTTATCTTTTTTTTTTTCATACCAAGTACATTAATAATTTTTAATATTATATACAATAAGTAAAGTAAGTTACTTAACTTAAGATAACAATAATATAAAATTAAATTAAGACAGAAGCCACCAGTGTGAAAACCTGACTTAGAGGTATGTTACCTTTAAGCTTAATATTTGGTCAATTTACTCTAATATGTATGCTAACTATGTAACATTGGAATTGTTGAATGTAAATTTGAACTTAATGAACTTATGTACAATCAAGAGAATTAATTTAAATATGATGTCTTTTTAAATTAATTGGAGCTGGTAATTTATTATAGAGCAAAAACTTGAGTTATTTCCAGTTTCATGGCAGTCATGTACAAAGTTTATATAAATATATAATTAATTGATTTCAATAATCAAAAATTATTTTACAGAAAATCAAATACGCCTCAGAATAGTTAGATCACTATTTTTTATTTAAAAAAAGTAAAAATTTATTTAGATCATCCATTAACCTAGTCTTTATTAATTTTAATAACTTAAGGATAATATATTAAAAAAATTATAAAAATGTGTATTAAATTGATATTTATTACAACTTCTGAAAGTATATATTTATTTTTTTCAAATCAAAGTTTTTGTTAAAAAAAAAAAAAAAAAAATTATCAAAATCTGATTATTTTATGAGACGTAAGAGTTTTTTTCTCTATGACAAGTTTTTATTCTAAAATGTATTAGCTTTGACATCCTTAATAAAACAATTTTTTTTTTCAGTCAATCATGAAGTAAACTGTAAAGTTTGCAAATTACCTGTGATAGGATTACGTTATTTTTGTCTAAAATGTGTAAATTATAATCAGTGCCAAAACTGTTTTTTGATTGGTGCCACTAACAAAAAACATAAATTAAAACATGCTATGCAAGAATATTGTTGGCTGGTTAGTATAATAGTTTTTATTGTATTTATTATTTTCTTAAAAAAACTTTGTCATTTAAGACTAAAGTATAATATAATTGTAATTTTTAGGAAACACCTCAACAGTTATACACACAATACTTAAAATCCTATTTAGGAAGAATTTTTGGTTTAACATCAAAAATTCGATATCTTCCTGTTGAGATGCCTATTGATGTTATTGAAACAAAACAAAAGTAAATATACTTCATATATTTTATTAAATTTAACAAAATTATTTTATGATATCTGATCTTATTTATTGTTGTATCCACTTCTTAAAAGAAAAAAATTGTTATTGATCTCATAGTGAATAATTTTTGTATAAAATTACTACATAACTAATCATTGTCAAACATGTAGCAATTGGTCTATGCATATTAATATACATGGTTATATTGTATGTGTTAATAATAAAATACAATTAAATATTATATTTAATTATTTTTCTTAAATTAATTTTGATACATTTTGAGGCTTTTCCTCATTCTTCGAGGTTTCTCTTTTTGAAATGGTTGGTTTTGTAATAATCATATTTCTATAATCATCTTGTGAGTAATCTATTGTAATTCTGTCAGTAGGCTAAACATATAAATTACAAGATTAGTAATGGTATTTAATAATTAAAGTTGTATAAATAATTAATTGATTTTGAAGAATAAAATTATTAAAACGTTAGATGTTTGTAAACAAAATAATTTTATGTAACAAACTTTGAGCTAGTTATTGTTAGTTTAAATATTTTGTTTATTTTTTCAATATTTTTGTTTTATTTTATTTTGTAATAAAATTTGAAATTATTTTTGATGAAACAGTTAAAATCATTTTATCTAATGATAGACAACAGTTATGATTTTTATTTTATTATTAACATTTTTAAAGATAACATCTATAGTTTAAAATTGATTATTTCCTATAATATTTAATACATTTATCAATTCTAATTAATCTGATTAAGTATTCTTAATGTTAAAATAAATAAAATTAAACTATAAGAAACACTAATTTGTGTAAATAATAATGTTCTATATTTAAAAATTATGTTATTGTTTTGGTTAATTTTGTTTAGCTTTAATATTATTAACCAATAATATAAAAAATTTTGATTACCTAAAAAATTAATTATTTATTAAAATCTATACATTTAAAAATTGATTAAACATAGAATTTGTTAAAAAAATTTGTTTTTACATAAATTAGTATGAAACCCATGACCTGAAACAATTTAGTTTCATTATCTAGGTATCTAAAATTTATAAATTGTATTGGTTTTAATAAATATCATATTTAAAGTGCACAGTAATCATATTATATTCTACATTTACACATTTTTCATTTTTATCCAGTTCAATATTGGAAATATACGCAGTATGTTAATAAATTTTATTTTAGACAAACAAAAATAATTGATTGTGCAAAATTCTATCAAGTGATATCTAGAAATTGAGGTTTCATAATATGCATGTTAATATTTAGATTGACATGTACTTGTTTTAAAGATATATCTTGATATAAAACAGCCCTTACAATAACTCAAATATTCTGCCTAATATGTATTAAAGAATTACAAATAGGTAATTTAATTATAAGTATTTATAATAAATACTCTTTTTCTTCTTTAAAAATAATTTTTTTCATGTTAAATTAATATGGCTTAATTATTTACAAGTATTAAAACATTAAATATTTCTAACTACAGCATGATTAAGTTTAATATTTATTTCATTTTTCTACATCTATAATTTATGTATGTATTACATGTTATATGGTTTTAAATTTAATTTGTAAACTTCTTAATCATTTGATTAAATTTAAAAAAATCATCAAAATCTGGACTTAAATTATTTAACACTTATTCAGAAATGTGAAGTCTCCAATTTTTAGTATACAATTTTAAAATACCTATTTATTATTAAACACTTCTTATTAATTATAAATTTCTATGCATGTTCATGTACAATACTTGTAATAAAAACTATTTGGTGAAAAAAATTCTCAATATTTAAATAATAAATATTATAAAAGGAAATATGCACCAACTAAAATTCTAATAGAAAAAAAAAATATTATTTGTATTTATGTAAGAATAAAGTTAATTGTTATAAAGATTAAATAACCTTGTAAAACTTACAGTTTGTAAAATATTTTGCTGAAAAACATTCTGAATTATGTTTTTAAATTCTTGTTGACTATTAAAAGTACCAGGTATAGTTAAATTTGTTTGTGAATACATCACATCATCCTAATATATTTTTAAAAAACAGAATATATTTAAAACATGTTTTATGATAGTAAAAAAATTGTCTAATCTTACCATTGTAAAAAATATTTAAGTTGTTATTTATTTTTATATTAAAAGTAAAATTAAAATCGAATAATAATATATTATTATTTTCTAGACAAAAATTATTGTAACAGTTGAATAACTATTATTTATAAGCTTAAGTTTACTAGTAGATCTGTTTAAAGACATTGATCCAATTTTAAGTAGGTTTCTATAATATATCATATTAATTGCATTAAAAAAGAGGGAAGGACTTGGTAATAAATAATAATTGATAACTCAAGTGTATTCTTAACTATAACTGAAAATTAATTTAATTGTTCAGTTAAATATTTTTAATTGTTTTATTTAGTAAGTATGTTATTGATAATTCTTATATTTAATTATTAGAATTTTGTTAATAAAATACAATTGTATCATGATAAAGGCAAATAAAAAAATAATACGTAAACTAAGAGATTATACATTTTAGTTTTGTTATAAATTGTCTTAAATGTTTTTTAGTTATACTACTTAAATGATTATTTTTTTATAGTCAAGATAACATTAATTATCTTGTTTTAGCTCTTATATAGTACTTATTTTAGTATAGGTAATAAGTGTTTTTATATTTATTACAAGAAGAAAAACAGCAAATATAATACTAATATATTGATAAATGTTAATTATGTCAATCATAATATTTGTATTTGAATTTGTGATAAAAATAAGTACCTACCTATATAAAAATTAAATGAAAACAAATAAATATTTTAAACAATTTTCAATATCTATTATTTTTAGATCATTATAAATGACTTTGTTTTACCAAATATAATACAACTATTTTCTATTAAAAATAAAATAAATAACCTTGTATAATGTTGTTATTGTAAGACTTTGAATTCATTTTTTTATTTTCTTAAGTAAAATTGTTTAACTCTTGGTAAATGCACTTTAATACCTTTGAACATGATATGCTTTATAATAAACTGTTTTTTAATTTTTTTTAGTGCTGTATGGGCTAAGGAAACCAGTAGTATTTCAAATGATTCCATCGCAGTCAAATCACCTCGTCAAGAATTACAGAGTGTTATATCACAAATAGAAAGAGAAAATAGGTACAGAAATATTACCTTAGTAATTTTTATATTGGTTTTTACAACATAGTTTTTATTACTTAGGTATAATATGTTAAAATTATGCTGAACATAATTTTAAAATCAATACACACAATACACATATATATATATATTAACAAAAAATATAACATTAATGATAGTAATATTTTAGATTCTTTTTTTTCTTTTTTCTTCCCTTTTGAAACCGGGAACGGGTGGGAACTGTTTAGCACTATACTGCCACCCAATAATATTTTTGATTCTAAGCACAGTAACAATGAAAATAATCGAAACTTTATTTAAATATTTATTAATTAATATTTTGATACATAAATACATTATTATTTATTAGTAGTATTATGGTACAATTGTTATATAGTGATACAGTGTGTAATATTATTCTATATTTTTATTATTAAATGTTATTTTATCTCAGTTTCTATTTAATTAATTACTTTTTGAGACATTGAGATTGTTCTGACCAAAGTAGGAGGAATGGAAAAAAATTAAAAGCATTTTATTGAAGTACTGTTTATTTAATAAATTTAGATATGTTTATAATTTTATCTGTTTATACATAAATGAAACATACTATCTACACATTTTATCAAATATAAATATCGCCTAGTATTTTTTTTGATCTTTTATTTAAATATTAATTATATTAAAATATAAAATAACTATTTTACAAAATATTTATGAAAATGTAGATATTTTTTAATATGACAACTAAAACGATAAAATTCAATATTTTTTATTAAATAATTCTATTCAAGTATATTATAAGTAGTTATATATTAGGTTTTGTTATTAAGTACATATTTATTTATAACTAATAGTTTTTACTAATATTAGCCAAATATTTTGAATTCATGCTAAATTATTTTTAAAGCCACTTACATCTATGGCTGATTACTAAATTATTTAAATTAATTATTTGTAAATTAAATAACTAATCAAGACTAAATTATATATTATTACTAAATAATTTTTTACAATTATAATAGTGTTGTAATCAAACTAGTAACTTAATTTAATTTAAAAAAATTCTTAATATTTAATTTAATTTTAATCTTAAAATGTTAATAACTATTAAAAAAACTTAATTTTCGTTAAACTATGGTTTTTATTTATGACATTTTTATATTATTGTGTGATCATTTATCACTTTTAAAACAGTTTTGTTATTGGTTTATAAGGGAAAATATGTACTAAAAAAAAATAGTATAAATATATTTTTTATAAATTCAAAAAAAAAAAATATCCAACTTCTTATTAGTAATCTAAATTGTATACATTTCATTTTTTTATAAAATTTTTTAAATTGCATTAATTGTAATTTTTTATCGAGACCTAATTATTTTATGATAAACATTTAATTTTACATATTATTTGGTAGATTTTTCATTGTTAAACTATGCATGTTTCTAAAATGTTTTCTAAATAAATTATATATGTTGAAAAAATGTTTAATTAATTTAAATATCATCGTATATAAGTAGCTCAAGTAGAGTCAAAATAATTTTAAAATTATACTATGTGTAGAAAGTGGTAGCATAAACGTTTGGTAAAAATTTGAATAGCATCTACAATAAATAATTTTGTCAAAAATTGGTTTTACATACAATTTGCCATTTCTGATTATTTTAAAAAGTATTGTGAATGTTTTCTTTTGATTCTCAAAGTGAAAATTAAATTAAATTTACTATAAGAAACCACCTCTAATATTAAGTTTTAAGTATTTTTACTACTCCAAAAGGTGATGACAGATAAAAATAAAACACTTAATGTAAAATCAATATATTAATTTCTCTGCTCAAAATCTAAAATTTCAATAATTTGTTTTTTGTGGTAAATTTTTTATATGTATTTATATTAACCTCTCTCCCTCAGACATAATTCTTAGTTTCACATACTTAATCAAAAGCATGCAAATAACAAAAGTTGGCATGCCAGTTTCACATAAATTTTAAATGTATGTACCTTATAACATTGCAGTGTGGAGTCATGTATATTTTGGATACTACTCAAACATCAGTATTGTGCCAAGAATTACTGAATTACATTATTCGTTTAGGATTTTTTTTTTTTTTAAAGTATGAAGTAAAAGTACTTTAACTGACGTTTTAATATTGTTCAACATCAAACTTGAATATATAATTGTTTAGTATTCATTTATTACACTTCACTATGGAAAGTTTAATATCTACCTTTGTCTATAGTAACAAAAAAAAAACTTAAAAATTAATTATTTTTTATTTTTTTTTTGTGACGGGGTAGGTGAGAATAGAATTTTGTCTAGTCCAGTACTACATCGTTAAACATAAAATAAAATCCATTTTAGAAATACAATATATTTATTATATTTGATTTGTGGAAAGGTACCTTCATATTAATTAATATATCAGCTTTATAAAAGTTATTTTCTGTGTTAACGGTACTTTTTTTTGTACCACTAAAAAAACTCAACTCTTCAATGTTTATTGTGGTTTCTGGTGGCATATTGTGTCTAGTAGTAGCTTTGAGTCAAAAAATAAAATTAAAAAAATTGATATGAGTACAAATTTGAATTTGTCTTTTTAGTAATTCAAGAGTGGATATTGTTAAAATTAGAATTATTCATAAAATATTTATCATAAAATGTTCTAGGTTTAATACAATTTGTAAAAAATTTTGTACTTTTATAGAGCTATAGACATTTGTAATAATTATCAATTTTTATTTAATAGACGTTGATAAAAACATTTTTCTCGGTCAAAAAGATTAAAATATTATCCAAGTTTCTTTTTAAGTTGTTCTTATATAAATAATAATAATAATAGTTTTAGTTATTGTATTATAATTTAAAAAAAATATTATTCAAAGTTACTAGAAACTTTTCAACATTACGTATGGTAATAGTTTTTATATTTGTTTATTTAAATTACCACCATATACACCTCTTCTACTGTTCGTGGGTATTAAGTGTTGACTAATATTCTGTTAGACATCTGATGGTTAATGATTCTTCAGTATCATTTTTTGCATATCTATGATAAATTAAATTTATATTTTTTATTTCTTTAACATATTTGTTAAATGTGGCCTACTCAATGATCAGACATAAACAAAACAGGTTATATACTTGAAATAGTTGAATTTATACTAATCATCTATGTTTGAAACTTATAAATTATAGTAAACAGCATAACAAGTATCCAGATCATTTATTTATATTTATGGCACTTATAATTTTTCAACTGTAATTATATATATTTTAATTCTTTAAAATTTAATTTATTTGGTTTATTATTGTTGTAAAAATAAACAATGTATAATATAATGTTATAAGTATAAATTATAATTAATAAACTTAATTTATATTTCAGACTATTGGAGATTGAAGTAAATACATTGAAACGAGGTGACTCTCAGTTTGAAGCATTTTTAGACCAACACCGGAGCAAAATCGAAAAACAGTTGATACGTCTAAAACATTTAAAGGTGGTTAACATATTAATATATTAAAGAAATATGTGTTTGGTTACTATGACTTAAATTTAGTATAATGTAATATTAAATTACAAATTATATCTATTACACGTTCAATCAATGTTTTTTGAGCGTCACTTCGAAACTAACAAATTATTGAGAGATATTTTCTATCGTAACGATAAACGTGTTGATTTTGCATTGGTGTGTTTATTTCATGTTTACAGGTTTAAAGGCAATTTTGATAGCAGATAAAATGCTTCAATATATTTTTTGATAAGAAAGTGAAATTAATTGGTACTTTAAGGCGTTAAATGTTTACGCGAAATCAGTTATTGAAAAAAATAATTGATTTCCCTTTTTTGTTATAATTCAAAAATTAAAAACACTGTAGATATTTTTTAAATTTTTACCAAATTTTAATGTTAGTCATGACTCATGATTAACCTAATCTAATTTTGACAATACGTGGTACGAGTTAATATATAAAATGTTAACACTTTTAGAACTATTGCATATTTATAGACATTTATAATTATCATTATTTATTTAATTTTTTTTTTTTTAATGCCGATAAAAGTTTCTTCTTTTAGTCAAACATCAAGTATTTGAACTGTTTTGAAGATACGATTTGAAACAGCACAATCCGGAAGGATCGACCGTCTCGGGAAATGAAAAGGGATAAATTATAACGTATATATATTATCACATCTTGTCTTTATTGCTTTGATGTAAAATTTAAATCGTACGTGTACAGTAATTGGGGAAGCGAGCGTGTCGGCCGGGCTATTTAAGCAGAAGAGAGACTATCGTACACGACCTTCGTAACGAATCAGTCCTATCTTACAGTGCTAGGATAATAATTATCGTTGGGTCTGTACACATTTTTGGGACGGAGTCGACCACTGGCGGCGCGTGACTTTTAAGTGGCGGTATTTGCACAATTAGCCCGTGGGGGGGGGGGTGGGGGGGCGTGGACAGCTTTGATGTCATGGCGCACCGACTACCTGCGCCCCTGGTACTTCCCCGGGCCATACGTTCTCCGTAGAGTGGTTTGACCGTTCTCGTCGCTGCTCAGGTCCCGCGGCTTGCCGTCTGCTCGCTCACTCCTCGGTCTCGCATCAGTTGACCGGATATGCCGAGTATCGGTATCTGGTGCCGATATTACTTTTGCTCCGTCGTCGGCTAGATCGGTTACTGATTTTGTTGGTCGTCGTGTCTTCGGAGGTCTTCTGCGTTGTGTTTAGAGGTTGAAGTTTAAAAGAAGACCGAATGAATAACAAAAGTGCCCGGTATAATAATATATACCTATGACCAACGGTGATAAATGATAATAAACCGAATAGTAAACCACGAGTGTGCCCGTGCTTATTATCGATGCGGATTTTGTTGCTGTGGGGTCACTTTTGGATTTCTGACTTCCCCTATCCACGATCGTACTTCGCTATAGTATGTGTGTTGGTTGGGTGAACTTAAAACTCGCTTACTCACCCTTAACAGTGCAGTTTTCTTGCATACTGTGTTATGTTTGGTGGTCCTGAAAAGGACCGTTTTCTTGTTGTGGAGGTTTGTACCATGGCTAAATACTTAGGTATGGCAGTAACTCTGTGATACGTATGTCATGACGTCAGCCGGCAGGAACTTTTATCACAGTTCTAACTAGTTTCAAGATTTGGCCGATAAAAATCCTTGCCGGCTGACGTCATATTATCATATAATAAATTAAGATTTGTTTATTATTCAATAATGAATGCGCTTATAGAACGGATTTTAGTATTATTGCTGTCATACTTAAGTATTTAGCCATGGTTTGTACCGTTACAAGTTTTAACGTGATTTTTCAAAAGATGTTCCGGTATATTTAATTTATTTTGGTAGCTGTATGGTTTTAACAGTATAGAAGAACTTGTTTTACGGTTAGAACTTTTCTACAAGTTAAGTATTAGTCTGGTTTTTTATGCCTCATGAGGTAACCGTGAGTTAGCCAATTATGTTCCATTTATAATCTATGTATTTTGAAAACGTAACGTCTTTTTGTAATGGTTATTGGTCAAAAACTTATCGATAGTTTTATTTCATTGAGTTTTATATGAAGGGATTTCGAATGTTACAACTGTTGTGACATCAGATCTTGTATGGCTTCTTAAATATCATTTAGAGAATAGATTTGGACTTAAGTCGCTTCAGCCGAATTCATGACTTAGCATAGATATAAATTGTCTTGTTGCCAAGAATTTCGATATAGCTTAGCGATTCATTTTAGCATAAAGTTTTGATTATTAAGGAAAGAAATTTGATTTTTATTATTGTGGATATGGCATTAGGTTAGGTTATATTGTGAATACAATTTAGAGCTCTCGGGGAGTCGCTTAGCGTGAGGGTTTTGTCTATTATATTTTATTTAATTATTTCGATTGTACGAGAAATTGTGCAGGCTTTTACTGCGTAAATTGAACAGAAAATTGGGAGTTTAAACATTTTTATTATATTGTTAAAATATACTTGATTTAGATCCGTCTTTTTATAACTTGATGTACCTATTCCTAGTGGTCTTCTAGTAATAAATGAACAATTTCCTTATTAACGTAAAAATATAAATACACTTTTATAAAATAAGAAAAATATGATATTTAGTAACTAATTATGTCGAATGATGAAACAAACTAACAAACTTGTAGTTATAGGTGGCTTGTAAAAAACAATATTTTTTTTTAGAGAAATTACCTATATTTTACTAATAAATAATAATTATTATTGTTCTGTATATATTATAGAACCATTTGAGTGGTACGTTCGGACGTGGTAAGATGAAGCGTATGCAGAGCACACCTCTTATCGTGTCAAGACCAAATTGTAAAGATAATGGAATCGCCGCGGTCAACCTGAGTCCGATATTTTCTGCCGAAGCGTCATCGCGCACTACTAATAGTTGCTCTGGTCTAAGTGCGCTTAGCACGTTGTACGGCGAAAAGATGGTCGGAGAAGGCTTAGTCTCTGAACCAAATGAATTTTCTTACTGGTTGGGCCCGAAAATTGCTTCCGCCAAGAACCGAGAATTGGACGGGACTTATATCGAAAAACCAGATCACAACGACAAAGAAAACGATCCTGCAGTGGCTGTAGCCGTGCCAGCTAGATCCGAGTCCCAACCGCCATTGTCGGTTTTATCCGACATTCTGAACAGGCCGTCAAGTGCTGGTGGCGACGACCCTAAGTCTCCCGACAAAATTTCCATTACGGTTAACAAACAGTCGTCAGTATGGCTCAACGCCAGTAGAGACTACGCCAGAGAGCCAGTTGACGACAAAGACATGGACGAATTGCACACCGAACTAGATAAGATTTTGGACCAGTTACAGAAACTCGTAACGTAGATAAATAAAAAAAAACATCTAACTTTTATTTTTTTTTTCCTATTAAATTTAATTTTGCACTTTATAATATTGTATAATATATATATATATATATGCATTATACTTAGTATAATAACGTATTACTATATTTAAAATAATTTTATTTATTTATATTTTATTGAGAAAATACATATTTTATGAGTAAATTGAAATACTTTCAAAGTACATATTTTACTATTCATTTTTTATAAAATTTATATAACTATATTTTTTATAATATACAATTGTATTTAGGTATTCGTATATTTATTTAAATGCTATCTTATAGTAATACGTCACAACAATATATATATTAGATGATCTATTAAAAATGTTCTTAGATATGTACTAAAAAATTACAAGAATTTAATGATATTCACGCCATGTGCGATGGTTTTATTTGTTTTAATAGTATGTTCTGTTAATTTTGTTGTTGATGGTATAGACGTGGTGGGGATTGTTTTGGTAAATCTAATCAAAAATGATCAGTCGAATGTTGAGTAATTTCATGAACTATCATGCATTGTCATGGTATGTTAATCTGTGTATAAAAAAAACTGCCAATCTGAAAACCTTAATCACTGCATTTACAGTATGCGCTAGAAAACGATAGGTAGAGTATGACGTTTGAAACCTACAGCAAATTATTTGAATTTTACGCAAAGAAATGCTGATCAAAAACTGGTTAAATATATGTATCTTAATTAAAATGTTATCTCAGTAACAGTAGAATTCAATACATTACACTAATTTTATTATTATAAAGGTAGTTGTTGTATATATATTAACTAAAAAGCATTTTTATTTTTACTACAAGAAAAAAAGAGTGGTAAAAATGATTGACCTTGGGTGTATAATAAACACTATAGTTACCGGTTGACTTTAAACCTATGTTTTATTCATGGTCGCATGATTCCATACGAAAAATTACAATTCATCAAATACGTCAGTGAGTTTTCGCTCTTCGACGTGATAAAAAGTGCATAATATTTTCATATTAACAGTCGCTGCTAGTCTTTACATGAGTTTATGAAATTTATTTTAAGGTAAGTTAAATTATTTTATGCATAAACTATGTTTTTCTGATTACAGTTGTTGTCTTTAGACTTTAAAATAGCCCATGGGTAGGTATACCGAATTACATGTTTACATATTTTATTTTGTTCAATAAATAATATAACCATGTTATAAAGTTATTTAAAACAAAATATGCATACCTATTATTTATATTTATGCATTTGAGACATATACTACAATAGAGCAACGTTGAAATTTCTATTTCTATTTTGTATTAGTATTACCTACAGGCTACAATATAGGCGTAGCAATGTAATTAGAATATGTAGGTACAAAATCGTAATACCTATTTCATTTAAGTTAATACTGCGTATTATAGTTTAAATAACTAGTTATAATGTATTAAACAACCTTTAAAGATAATGTGTAGAAAAAGTCAAAAGCTGTAAACATGACAAATGGAAAATTATTGATAAATTTTAATGTTTACAAACAATTAAGTATATAATACTATAGGAAGTACTAAATCTCTTATTATTTATTTTATACACCTACTTTTTATAATATAATTAATATAAAATGTTGCTTATAAATATATATATATACGAGTATATACCTATGTCCTATATATATATTTATATTGGTACATTACAAAACATTAACATGACATTTAATGTTAAAGCTTAATATGTATTATTGGTTTTTTTCTTTGAAAATATTTATATACCTACCTCAAATTTTTTTGTCTTAATGGTACCGGTATCAAAATACATAGTAATGACTAATGGCATAGAACCGTAAAGATTATTTTTATAGTTTCTTCTTTTTTTTTTTCGATCTATTTTATGTATATTGGATAAAATGTATTGTCCCGGCCTATAAGATTTATACTATGTTATACTGCAATTTAATTTATATGGAACATAAATATTTGGATATTATATTACCAGCTAATTTGTTTCCTACCTACTTAAAAAAAAAAAAAAAATAGATATATTAAGACACTGAACCTTACATTATTGTTTATTGTTATACTTGAATTCAAATTTATTAATTTATACTCTAATTATCTAATTATTAAATGTCAAAATTCAGTCGTAGGTACTATTACCTATCTGCCTTATTAATATTTGAGCTGTATTATTAATGTTAATAAAAGCAATAATATTACACTTATTTATTAAAAAAAAAAAAAAAACTGACATAATTTAGTTAGGTACTTATTATGTATAATTTGTTTAAAACTCTTTAAGGTAAAATAAAATAAACGATATCTACCTAAGAAATGATAAAAATATATCAAAAATGCTAATGCATCATAAAATAAAATTGTACTAATATCAAAAATGTATAAATACTGAATACCTAATATATCGTCTGTTTCATTCTCATCAAAAATATATTTTTATACAGAAAAACCTAAAAAAATAATATTATTTACAATAGATAAGTTCATTATACTATTAAACGGGCATATGAAATACATATATGCCCGTATTATTAATACTTGTACAAATCTACCTATAATCTATGTATAAGTATAGTATCGATTTCCTAGTGATTTGTGTTTGTTCAGTCACTAAAAAAATGAAAAATTATTGTCAATGTCCTTCTCTATATAGATAAGAATTATTAAATTTTATTTTAAATAAAATCTAAACTAATTTCTAGCTTTGGCTCGGGATAATTCTAAGCAAATTATTAGACCAATTATTGTTTTTAAAATGCGATATTAGTTACATAATTTAGTTTCCTTCGATTTTAAACTAGCTTAAACTTTTCTGGTGTTTGCAGCATTTTAAAATCTCATAGATAGGTACATGTCCCAGACACTCAATTGTTGCAATTTATCAATATCACATCCTTAATTGTAAATTATTATTATTTTTTTAAATAAAAGTACCTATGTACCTACTTATAATTTAAATATTTATAAATAAATATTAAATATTCTGAAAGTTAATTTTATTTTCGTAAAATTATTTTCTATCATCATATCAACATATAAAATAATTAATATATTGCGCTATTATATTGATCAGATTTCAAAAAGAAAATATTTTTAATTTATGGTTTTGATCATACTCAATTGACATTGAATTTAGTTTTTTAAAGCTACTAAATAAACTTGATATTTGTGGTTTACCTTGAAAAACTTAGGTTGATATTATTATAAAAACCGTCTAGCTGACCTGCTACACCAAAACCGTTTACATACCTACGTTGAAAGTAGTGAATTTAGGTTTTGGTGGTACGTATACCTTAGACAGTTAGGCTATACATAATAAATTATAAACAAATAAGAACATAATATTTACAATGACTTTATATGTTATAGGTCAGATAAAACTCACAAACATTATAAAAAAAAATAAATAATATTTATTTATCAGGTATCTATTTAACATTTATTATTACGTAATATTGTACATAATATGCAAATAAGTGAATGAAACGTAGATAAATGACGATACAAAATGTTTATATTTGTTTAGCATCCGCATCCTAAATTATAAACTAGTTAACTATAGTATATTCGAAAGGAGTAACAGGTAGGCCAGCAAGGTCGTGTTGTCGGTAGGAGAATTTTCTTGAAAAACATATGATTTAAACATTATACAATACCTACTTAGTTTAGTATATTATATATTTTATTAAGTTTTAAAATTAATAAACTATTATACTTCACTATCTGTGTAAATTTTACTGTATGTACTTGGTTTTCAAACCATAAACTAATAGCCTTGTTGCTGATATTTCTATCGATCATCTCGATCATCAAGACATTAAAATAAAAATAATAATAGATAATAAAAAAAAAAACAATAGTTGATAAATAATTAATACAGGCTATTCAACTGTATCGTCGTTAGGTTATTAACATGTATAAACCTAATTATGTTAGAAGTAGGTAACAAGGTAACCTTAAAAGTTGATTAAATTATGATAACGTATAATTATTAATTATTATAAAATAGGTAGATACATTAACTATTTATTAGGTAATAATTAATTTTAATTTTATGATACAATATGTTTTATAATAATACAGTTCGTTTTTTTTAAATTGTTGGATTCTGTTCATTACGTTTATTTGACTTAGTTTTACACTGTTCAATAATCGTAGATAAAAATAAAGCCGGTTGATTTTTATTTTTTAGGTACGTAAACAACTATAATAATCATTATAAGAATCTATATTATATTCATGTAAACATGTGCATCCAAATTGCATGCCAAAAAAATAAACATACATTGGTACGTTCAAATTGCATGCCATCTCTTAGAAGGGTGCGTCTAAATTGCTTGTCCTGTATAATTTTATTTTATTAAACAAAATAATTGAACTTATTTTTTTTTTTTATAGATTTTAGATTTAAACAGCTCTGATTATTAGCCTTTAGCCGGTTTTTTTTTTTTTTTACTTAAGAGGGGAGTACCAACTATTTTTGAAACACATGTTGTATATAATATTATGTATCGAGGATGTGTCACTAAAAATCCAGATGGTTATCCATACTTAATCAAATTTAAACAATAAGTAAATACTGCATATTAGCTATATTCGGTATCTACCTAATCATTAGATAATGTTAACTTATCAAGTTATAATAGTTATGATAGTTACTCGTTTTTTCTATACGTCGCAATGGAATGGACGAGTTTACAAATATAACCAATAGATAATCAATGCGTTTTAATATTGCTAATCCAAATTATAATTATAAAATATGTCAAAACTGACATTTTATCATGAAAAAAAAAAAAATAATAATTTATACATGAAGTATGAATCACAGGAAATCCAATGGAAAAATCTCATTAAAAAAAACTTTAAAAATATTTTGCTGTGCGGGAAAAAGCTCATGGTTGTTTTTATGTTGGATTTTAGTTGACATTGTGTTGTAATTAGCTAGCTTAAGAAAATTAAGATTTTTTTTTTAACTTTAATTAATTTTTTTTTAAATGTTTACAACAAGCAACTAAAACTAATCTATACCTACACGTATAGATAAATATTAACTTACTAGATATAATAATTAATAGGTCAGGTACTTTCAATATGTTAATATTTTTATGAATTTTGAATAATAAGATGTATTTTTTTTTAGAAAAATATGTATCTTAAGATTAGGCATATTATCATTATTTATTATTATTTTTTTTCAAGGTTTTTTTTGTCGACTACCATCAAATAGGTACAAACAATTTTATAGTATACAATTTACAAAATAATATATATAAAATTAATTATTTGTTTATTATTAATGATAAACAATATAATAATAAAAACAGTGATTAAAAATATAATCTCTAATAGAATGTAAGTAGGTATGCAAAAATAAAATAAAATGTTTTTATAAAAATAATTATAACCATGATAATATGGCCATGACTGATAGATGAACATCTTAGTTAACTCAGTCGTTATAAAAATAAGTAGTTTCGATACTATAATTATTTTAATTATAACAATAATACCCATACGAATAGTTAACCTTCAAAGTATTGTGAATTATATAATAAGTAGCACACAATTTCAAACTTTAGATAATAATGTCCCATATAGGCTTTTGCAAAATTAAAAAAAGAAATTATATTATTAAAAATCAAAATATTATATTTTATTTCTTCATCCCAATTATTATCAGTTTTTTGATATGCTACAGGTACTTGATTATAATCTTATCGAACATGAAGTCAATAAAACAAACTAGTAAGAGGTACTAACTATTGTCCTAATTATTACTATTTCGGTAACTCAGAATCTTTATCACGAAGTAAATATTATACATAATATATTAATATTATGTATTATTATGTTATTATATTAATGTACGATTATCAAGTACGGTGTTATTGTGATTCTACAAAAATATTGAAATGAAAAAAATATAATCGTTCAATTAAATTTCATAAAAATACGCTGGTTCTCGCTGAGTAAACTCGTGTATGATAGTGATGTAAAATATCATAGTACGAATAGTTCTAATGTCAGTTGGATAGGCGTTTTTTTATTGTGGCATATTTAACTACTTTTAGTATGTTGATAAAATTCATTAATAAATGTAAATTTTATGAGAATTAATAATATATATTGTTTTATGACTAAATCGTTCTAAACACGGCTATACAAATATAATTTTCGTGCCCGACCATGGACTAAAAATTTAATAAGCGAACACTGTAAACTGTTATTATATTAAATCATTACTATTTTAAATAGTTTTTAAATTATGGCACCGAGAACTAGTAGTTGGCCTGTATGGAGTGGTATATTGAGCACGGACAAAAATATAAAATCGGCTGACGATTGGATTGAAGCACGTCGAAAGGAAGACGGCGCAGACGAGTTGTGGAGAATTCACGATGGGTTGTATAATCTTGAAGAATGGATTCAAAAGCACCCCGGAGGATCACAGTGGTTAGAAATTACAAGAGTAGGTACCTTCCAACTTACAATTTTTTAAGTATATTCAAACATATAAATAAAAATAATATTTAATTATATATAATAAGTTAAAGTAAATGAATAATAATAAGTAGGTACTTCAAAAGTAAAAAAAAAAACAATTTTAATTTAATATTTTGAAATATATTAAATCAGTGAATATTTCCCTTAAGCTTTTATCATTTATTTATGCTTGTTATTATTGAAACAGGGATCATTCGATAATGTTAGATAACAAACATATTGATTTAATTGAAGCAAATTTGTGATGAATAATTTATCAATTAACATTTTATTTATTTATTTATTTATTTATTTAAATCCATTATTTATTACATAAAAGTATTACATAATAAAAGACATTATCTACCTTTTGAAAGCAAAGCTTGTGTTGAAGTTAGAGAGTGACAATTTATTAACAATTAATAATTAAATGATAGAAATACAAATATAAGAATAATAAAAATAAAATAATGTATAAATATTAACGGTTTGTAAATAGAATAATTAAAATAACTATTCTAAGTACAACAATAACCAATTATTAACAGACATTTTAATATTTTTGTGTTTGTCGATTATATTCTTTTTAATATGAACAGGCATTGAATTAAAATAAGTAGGACCCAGGTAATCCACGAATTTTTGACCAAACGATTATTTTTAAATATATCACTTTAGCATCATATGCTAAATGTTTTATTTTTATTTTTTCATTATTTAAATTTCTCTAAAAATCTATATTTTTACTTACTCATAAGATGTCAGTTGTTTTAAATAGTAAATTCATCGGTAACACATTAAATAATTTAAAATTTTGACTCGTTGAACCTTCAAGAGTAGGTTTCGGTAAACATATTCGAAAAATTTGTCTTTGTTGTATTATTTAAGGTTTTTTTAGCATTAGCAGAAAGGCCTCCCCAAATAAGTAAAAAAAATTTAGAATTTAACGATATGAGAAATATTCCAAAGTAATTACTGACGTATTTACAACAAAAAACGAAATCGAGTTTTATTGATAAGCTATAAAAAATAAATTTATACTTGTAAATAAGTTACTCTGTTAAATATATCACTACAGAGTAGTTTTATACATAGTTTTCTGTACCAAAATATATAGGGTACTGATATCACAGAGTTATTTGAATCACACCATATAAATGGCAAAGCTGCAACGGCGGTGATGCATAAATTCTATGTGCGACAGGCAGAGTCGCCGAGAAAATCGCCTTTCACATTTAAGCCAGACGGATTTTACAACGTTTTAAAATCTAGAGTCGCAAAGAAGTTGTCTTACGTGGACAGCAAAAATTATCATCTAAAGTCTATCCTGGTTGTTGACACATATTTTCTCCTCGCACTAGTTTCGTGCGTCGGAGTGGCTCAAATAGAAAACTTTTTCTTAGCACTGCTGACTGGAATTATTTTGGCACTAGGGACCGTTACTGCCCACAATTTCACGCATCTTAAGGACAACTGGAGGATGTATTATGTGCAGTTGGTTCTATTATCTGTACGGTGAGTACTGAGTTGTACAATATATTATTAACTAGTCCGTTGTTATAATATGATAATACTTACAACTAAAAAGAGCCAACACATTTTTAACGTTATGTATTATTATTTTTATTTGTAGTGAATGGAGAATATCGCATGTACTTAGTCACCATATATACACAAACACTGTACAAGACTTAGAGATGTCACTTTTGTATCCGTTTATCCATTGGTTTCCGACCAATGACAAACCGTTTACTGTTCGCTTGTTCCCTTATCTTACGCCAATTATATATCCTTTTATTATTCCCGGACAATTGGTTATAAGGTATTTTGTGTTGTTTATAAATAATTTAATTATATTGCAAATTAATTATCATTTTACATATTATATAAATATTGTTTTAGAACTTTCAAGGGTAATAATGACAAAGCTGATCTTCTAATGTTTGTTATACCTGCAATATTGATGTTTTGTGGTCAAATGGCCATAAGTTCTATAATTATTGCGTGGATTGTTATAATTCTGACAAGTAGTTTTATGTTTACATTCATTGGGTTTAGTGCTTCTCATCATTTTCCGGAAAACTTTCATGATGGAGACATAGTCAAGTAAAAATAATATTAATTACATTTACAACTAAAATTATTATAGAATATAGATCAATTTTTATCAGATATACCTTACGTAGGAAGAAATATTAATAACTATGATAATATAGTTATGTTATAATTTTAAATAGTATGTCATAAATATGTAAAAAATTTAAAGCATTTTACTGAAAATATAATATACTTTACATAGGTAATTATTTAACTATAGATAAATAATTATAATATATTGAGATACATTATGACTCTTTATATTTGAATGTACAATATATTATGCAAAAATTAAAAAAATATATTTCTGTTATTTTTATTGTAATGTTATGTTCGATCAATATTGCCGACCAATGTTCGTTATGGTGTATAATCTGTGTAAATTGTTATTACTACAGTAGTTATTAAGTTTGATAATGATATTAGGTGGTTTGAACTTTGAAGTGACATATTATTATTATGAATACATTTGAAATGTGTCAATTAATTTATAGCGACTTCTAAATAATTATCAATATGTTATTATCATTTAATAGGTGTTTTTTCGATTTAATAACGTCTTATAATAACTTGACTGAATTTAACCTCTGTAATATGCTATTGTACCTACAACTAATGATACTTTGTAATGTTTAAAGGATATCAAGAGACTCGAGTACAAACAACATTATAAGAACTATATTGTTATTACATGATTACGGTCTTTCTTAATTTCTTCTATTAATAATACAAAATAAAAATTATAGTAGCCTTCTTTTTTTTTTTTTTTTGACAATGCTCTTAAGTTGTAATTTATTTTATTTTTCAGTACCTGATAGTTATAGTATTAGAAATTGAATTAATTGTAAAATTGTACTATTTTCTCAACAAACTTGTTTTATCTGAATACCTATACTGTCTTGTTTTTTTTTCTAGTGATGAATACATCGATTGGGGAATACATCAAACGATAACTAGCGCAGAACGAAGCGAACCGGTCAATAATATATTTTTAACAATAGCTACATTTGGCGATCATACATTACACCATTTGTTCCCAGCTTTAGATCACAGTTTAATACCAGTATTAAAAGACACTTATGAGGATACATGTAAAGAATTTGGTTTGGACCTAACACCAAAATCATTTACAACGATTATGTGCGGTCAGTTTAAACAATTAATACGCGTTACTCCTAATAATCCGAAGAACAATAGTATTGTTCATTGCACTGACATAAAATTAAATAATATCTAAATATTATTAAATGAAATTGAAATGCATATTATTTATAATGCATTTATGCATGATATATAATTAAGAAATAAATAATAGATACAAGACATAGATATACTACTTACTAGTCGATAATATTGCTATTTAAGTCTATTAATGTAGCAGTATCATTGACTGAATAGTTATTTTAGTATTTAAAAACATTACTTATCATACATTTTTTATTGTATAATTTAAACGATAATATTATAGTTATGTAAATTGAGATGGTTACTCATTTATTATTATCATTGATAAAATTAGGCAATACCAGTGGCGGATTTAGGATTTTTTTATGGTGGGTGCTATTTTGTTAATAATAATAGTCCTAAATTACTTATTATGTGCAATTTGTGCGTGGTCGCCGACCGGTGTTTGCTACTCCACGGTGTGGGGCGCGCATTCCGGTAGTCCGTATCAAAAATTTGCCACTCAGCAAATTATTAGTAATTTTTAATAAAAATACGCGGAACGATGGGTGATTTAGTTCCCAAACACCCTCCCCCCCTAAAACCACCACTGGGTAATACAATTTTATTTTTCGTATAAATATAAGAAAATAACTTACTGAGGCCAGTGGTTTTTATTTTAATTATTTGTATACCAACTATTTAGTATTTACTATACATTTAGATGACTATAGAATTTTTCAAAAAATTATTAGTTTTTATGTACTTAAAAAATACGTATGTAAGAAAATAAAAATTAGTGCTTATAATGAAAACAAGCTCTCAATACGTTCCAATAAGATGTTTAGATAAACTATATTATTCTATATTATTATAAATAACTATATGTACTACAACTATAAGCATTACAGTTATTATTCAAAAATATTTCTTATAGTTATGTTAAGTTCTACTTATAAATCACATGAATAATAATATTGTGTGTTTTATTTTTTATTTCAATTGTATATTACGATTACTTACTACTTTTATTAAAAGAAAATGTTTATAAATGTTACCATGTGTTTTAATTTAATAAAATTATTAACTACGTAGGTAAATATTATGTATATATTATATAAATACATGTTTAAAATAAGCAATTGGATACAATACCAATATTTGTAAATATTGTCAATAATATCATAAGAAAATATGAAATATATCAACTAATAAAATTACTTAATAAAAAAATAAAACATTTAATGTTCACAAGGATTAATATGTATATATGTATTTTGTCATTATTTATTAAAATATGTTTGATATATTATAGTATTTATTATTTATTATAAATTATAATAGCTTTTTTATGAACCTATCCACAACTAAATATTGTATGAGTTATAAAAATAAAAATAAATTAAAACTATAATACTCGTACTATCTATAATGTTTTCAAACTATGAAGGCTAGATTAATTTAGCTTTCAGAGTACTAAAAAAACAAAGCACTATACCTAGTATTTAAATAACGATTTATGATTATGATATACAAATGTGTAGGTACCGAGTATGAAGAGAAAGGATTTGGACGATCTATTTCGTCAATATTGTGTAAACATCATAGTCAATTGTTCATAAACTAATTAGGTACTTATTATTATACATTTATGACGTAATTAACTATGTTATAACTTATAACATACAGATAATATCTGTAATATTGCTTAAAATATAATACAAATAACATGGCTCGTGTATTACAAAGTTCTAGGAAAAAATGTTCTTAAATTTTTGCCACTGGTTCATATTTTTAATGACAACATTTTCCATCTATACCTATATTAAGATTATTTTTATTTTGGAATGTAATAATATAAAATGAAATTTATTTCCAAGTATTTCTTTAGTGTTGTATAGTTTTTAATATTGATTAATCATCTCTTTAATACAATAAAAATAACGAGTAGGTATTCGTTACAACAAAAAATAATTATAAATTTAAAGAATGTAGATAGTATACTTAATAAAAAATATTCCTATAAAAAAATAAGCCTGGAGACATATTTTTTTCGCTATTTACTTTACCTCATATATTTTTGTTAAATGTCGTATTTTATTTTTAAATTTTGATTTTAAAAGTCATATATTACGAGTATAATAACCAAATAAAAGACCTAAAAAAAACAAATCATCTAATATATAAAAATTGTCCAATAAAAAATATGTAGAATGTTAGATATATTATTTTGTATCATAAATCATGGTTCCTAGTTATGTATGTTAAAAGCTAAAATATACATATATTCTAATTTTAGTCAAGCAGAAAAAAAATGTAAATTCCCTGTTTAGGTACACTGTACTACCACTATATAGAAACGTACGCGTAAATCATAAAATTTACATCAAAAACAAATTCGGCAGAGTAAAACTATATAAAAATATACGGAAATACGATTAAGTTTTTTGTTAGGTACTAGAATATAACGTGTTTGTAATGTATTCGACCTTACATTTTCGTGATCATTATTCGAATATTTATATGTACCTACCTATATAATATTATACTCAGTTAAAATATATTATTTTTCTTATTAGGTACTCTTATAAATTCATTAATAATAGGTACATAAATATATTTTATAATCTCAATTTATCTAATTATATATTTATTATTGTTTACTTATTTGATCAAATAATTGGCAAAACTATGATGTTGTTGTATCAAACTTGGTTACTCATATAAACAAACATTTTGTGGTAAGAAATATAAGAATAAAGCACTTTTTGAGTGTTTTTGAATAATCTTAAAGTAAAACCATCCATTTCAAAAAATTTTGAGAGTATGTCATATTGATTTGTTAAAATATTGTCTCAAATTAATTTAATATTAATTTAAATTTATGTATGTATATATTTTTTAAATAGAATATAAAGTCAAATTTTAATAAAATATAAAATTATTATACTCTGCGATTACTCAAAAAATCATATAAAAACGATTGTGTTTAATTTATGTTGTACGTGGGTCCAAAAGTGAAAACAATTAATATTGTATTAAAATCATCTTAAAATCTTCCTCAAAATGTTTTATTGTTTGAATCATGTTATTATTTTTTTGGATTACCTATTCGAAAAAAATATCATTAAGATATTAAAAATATTATACTTTTTTTTTTGTAGCAATTTCAATGGATTCAGTTTATTTTTTATTCACTATTTATATAATTTATAATTCTCAGCAGTAGCGTGGTGAGCAATTTTAATTAAAGGAACCATAAATATTTTATCTATCCACCCACCCATCCAACTATTCACAACAGGATGTATAACAAAATTGTTCGCTTCGCTCGTAACCATTGCCGTGTGTGAAACATACATATAGGGTAAAAAAAATACATTTTTTTTTTAGATAGATATTTGTGCTTCTCTACAAAATAAAAAGTACTTCAATAGTTTATATACACTTTGTTTTAAACTAAGTTTGTAATAATATGAGCATACCTTATAAAAAATAAAATTTAGAAACTTTAAATTTTAAATTTTTGCATCATTTTATTTTGGTATGAAGTTAAATGACAATTCAATTTTTAATTTTCATAATTAGTCATACGTACAATTAGGTATACGTATAATATCATATGATTATATGGTTTATTCTAATATTTTAATTAAATACAAGTTATAATAATATTTAAACAAAAATTACTTTAACACGTCTCGTGTAAAAAAACATGAATAGATAAACTCTTACTTTATTACATTTAAGTGTGTACACTTTCTACACAATACATAAATAACAATTAATTGAAAATATAATCATATGATAGTAATAATAATAATAAATAAAATAATAATTTTATGAAAGTATGCAAATAAAAATTTAGTATTAAGTTGTATTATTACTTAAACAACAATTTTTTTTTTGTAGTACTGAGTATGTAAAAACATATTTGTTCAAAATGTTTTCTGGATTTAGGTAAAACTATATCCTTTTTACATTTAAATCGAGTTTTAATTAATTTTAATTCAAGAACGATCTTTCACTTGTAGCAGATGTTATTGAAATAGTACATAAATATTTATATGCTAAAATTTTCAAGTTCATAATTTAATAGCAATACATTTTACAAATCTACCATTACCATCATCATCCACACCACCAAAAATCAACGGAGCTGTGACTCAAAAAAAACTTCCTCCTAAATTATTTATTGTAAATTACAGAGTTCAAAGAACAGTTAAAATAAATAAAAAAATTAATTTATCTACCTCTTGTAAGCTAGTTTGAGATGGTGGTAGAAAATTACAAATTCTATTAATTAATATAATAATCTAAAAATATGAAAAAAAATATAATAAACATAATATCAAAGTTTCAGCACAATATAACAGTAATATACCAATATCGTATACATTTAAATTATAAAATACTAATCTAATTTAGTGAATAACCAGTTAACAATCATTTTGTTGAGATTTGACTTTTTTAGATTCTTAGAGTTGGCTTGCATGCTTTTTTAGATTGATTGACAATGAATTGAAATAAAAAGGACCAAGGTATCTAACGAATTTATGACCAAATGTTTTTTATAATAAGTTATTTTAGCATCATACTCTATTTTCTCTTGTTTTCAATATCCATTCATTGATCATATTTTATAATTACCTTTAGTTGTTCCTTCAAAGTTTTTCTTACTAAGATAGATCCTAATTATTAATCTTTGCTGTATTATTAGTGGCTGTAATGCATTCATAGCTGTACCTCCCCAGACTAACAGACCGTATTGTAGTATTGCTTGGTATAAAACAAAATAAGTTATGCGTAAAGTATGTACTGGTAAAAAAGTTCTTAATTTATGAAATTTATAGAAATACTTTTCATTTTAAGCTGTATATTTAATGAATCTTTTCATACTGTTCTATATTACGTCGATATTGACTTATACAAATTCTAAATTAATAAAAGCAAGTAGTAATATTATAATATGTCTTATTATATGACACGAGTATAGATGTAATTTGATATTGGAAATATAAGAAACATTTATAAAAAATGCTAATAAGTCAAGAAAATTGAGGTGTATGGTTACAAAAGTTTGTAAAAAAAAAAAAGAATTAAAAAAAAAAGAAGATACGTATTATTTATTTATATCATTTAATATTATATAAATAGGACTACAGTTATTAGTTTTATAAGTGTTTTGGTAAAAAAAGCCACACGGTGAGTTATTTTTTAATTCTATTTTATTAAAAAAAAAAAAAAAAAATAGTACCTACTATTTATATGAATAAACCTATTGAAACGTATCATACGTCATTTAGTGTATACTGTTTACGAAAAGTTATTTTCTACGAATTTTATGGCTACAATATCGCTTCCCTCTTCTAAAATATATACTTATACTTTCTTTTGTTTATATAGCTCTCAACATAGATCATTTTTACTACTTCAGTCCTATATAGTGTATATTATTTATGAACAAATATAATACATATAGACAATCACCTGTTTATTACACACGACGTTCATTTCCGCTACTTATATTTTTTTGGCCAAGTTAAAAGTCATCAGTGATTTATTTACGCTTTATGAGATGATGCCTAGAACATTTATCCTATCTAACCTAATCTATACTTGAATTTCATTATTTTTTTTTCGTCTTCAACATCCACTATTTTAGTTTTACTCGCAATTGCAACAGCATCC